AAATGCGCTTTACACAATTGATGTGTGTATGGATTGGGATAACAGTTGTATGAGCCCCTAATAAAATATTAAAAAAAAAAAAGGAATAAACAAAAATAAATGCTGGCAGGAGTCCTGGTGGCAAAGTGGATTACAAGTTGGGCTGCTAGCCACTGGGTCAGCAGTTTGAAACCAGAGGAGGCTTTCTGCTCCGGTAAAGGTCTACAGTTTAAAAAATAAATAAATGCTGGCTTGAAATAAAACCATGTTCAGGTCAAGCACTCCAACAACCGAAACCAGACTCACTGCCACCCAGTCAATGCTGACTCATAGCAACTCCCTGGTGGGTTGTCACAACTCTAACTGTTGTGGAAAGGCCAGTCTTTCTCCCTCAGAGCAGCTGGGCATTTCTAACTGCAGGCGACGCAGATTGCAGCCCAATGTGTAACCAACTACACCACGAAGTCAAGCAATTGTGACTGAATTTCTTAAAATTATTTAAAATCTTAAGCACTCAATGCTAAGTTCTGACACACTGAGTCAAAAAGCATGCTGTTGCGATTGACCTTTGTGGTCAAAATTATTCCAACTCATGGTGACTCAAAAGGACCCAGTAGAACTGCCCCTGAAGATTCTAAACTGTAATTTTTAAGAAAGTAAAGGGACCACCTCTTGCTTCCCTTGGGGTACTGTTGAGTTTGATTTGTCTACCCCACTGTTAATGACCCAGCACTTACATCACTTAACCCCCTGGCCCCCACCTATCACCACCACACCCAACTCCTTTTTAAAACTGCACACAAACCCATCAAACAAACACCATTCTTTTCTCTTCTCATTCCCAGTAAATCAATTCACACACCTAAATTCTCTTAAAATTCTTACTGATAGAAGGAACACAATGGTACCTTGAGCTTGTTTTAAATTACCAGACATGAAATAATTATTATTTAAGAAACATGTATCTTATGCAACGAATAGCTATAGTGATCACAGTAAAGGAAAACATGGAAAAGTCATGGATATAAACTATTCATAGGAATTCCCAATAAAGCTGATTAAGTGTTAAGTAGAATTAAAGACAGCTCTATCTTAAATGACCCCAGGTAGTATTTCACAGCCAGGCTGGTTAGCTCTGTTGGCGAGAGCAGTGCTCAAGCTTTCGCACACAGACAAGGCTACTATGAGTCCAACCCAACTCGGTGGCCCCTAACAACAACTTAGCTTAAAGAGCTTCCTTCCTTCCAATCAAGGGTCTTGCGTTGACACTGGAATATAGCTTAAATTCTTCCCATTCTTAACAATGTTTTAATTTCAGGGATAAACGTTAACTCTTTATACATAGTACATTTTCGCTGTTAAATTTTGACTTACCTGGGAAGCAATTCTAGAAAACCTCTATTGAAGTCTTTCCTAAAATTCTCTTTGCAGTGGGGAAAACAGTATTTGTGGACCCAGAAGGTAGTGAGAGCAAAATAGTGAAGAGTGATACAATGAAATTTCATTGTATTCATACTACGAAAAGTACACCTTATTCTTTCTCTAATTCAGATATACTTTTTAGTTTACCTAAAACACAGTAAAGAATACATCTTCCTTCTAAGCATCTTTTCATTTACTGCTCAATATCCTTAGACCAACCCTGAAACAGCAGAATCAAAATCTTTATATTAATACACTTTAGTCTCATTATTTTCAAAGATGTCTTTTGCCTTTAAATCATTTCTAAGATTATTAAATCAATGAAGGATCAGTACCAATAGTATCTATAGGTAGTTTTATATGACAAACTATCACTAACATTCTTGATGTTTTATTTACGTTCATTCTAATCAAAATGCAAATTATTCCTAATTTCTTAGAGTTGCTATTTAACACCTTCCATGTGATTCTACATTCTTATGCAATCAGCTGTTCCCAGAAAAACTGAATAATAAGGAAACATACCTAAGAGAGGAGCTTGGGAGATTTTTTTGGTTGGGTATGTGTGTGTCTGGGCGTGTAGGCCTGGGGAGAGTGGTAGAAATACTAATTTGCAATACAGAAAAAAACAAGCCATTCACATGGTTCTAACAAAAGTGTCTGATCAACCCCCACCTCCACCCACAAAAAGCTCATAAATAAAGAGGGAGATCAAAAGGTAATAAAGTAAGTCCCCAGAGTATTACCCCATCAATACAATAAAGAACAGCACAGGAAGTGGCAAAGTTTAAAATAATGCCTTTAATGTTAGGACTAGTATGTTGTCATTAGCCACAATCCTTTTGTTTTATTAAGTTAGTGGTTTGCAATAGAAAAATACAAACTGGTGTACAAGTTCCAACATGGACACAGCGCCTTTCAATTTGGCATCAAATAATTAATTGTATTTTTCAGGTGTCAAATCTTCATATTTTAAACTTTCCATTATTTTAAACTTCACTTGAATCTTTCAAAAAGTTTTCTAATTTGAAACTGAATGCAGCTTATTCTTTTGTAAGATGCTATAAAATTAAACTCTCAGCAGTTAAAGGGAATTACTACCAGAAAAACTCTTATTAAGCTTTGACAATGAAATAGGCAAATTATCTCCAACATAGAGTATCTGCATAGGTAAATTTATACAATTTTATGACCAGTCTACATATAACCATTTTCATAGGTTAAAAAACTAATTTCATGTTACACTATGATCAGAAGTATTTATCTTTCAGTTAAACAGTTTTGAACTCTGAAAACTAATAAATTTAAATTGTTTTTTGTTTCTTTAGATTACCAGGCTGCTCAGAAAATGACACCAAAATCACTAATTTACATTAATATTTTAAATCATATTCATACTAAGTATACTTAATGGTACTAACATGTGTAGATAAACTTTTAAAAATAAAACTATTCTACCCCAAATATCTTGCTTTTAAAAGATAAATGTGTAAAAGATAAACTTTTTAAATCTTAGCATATCAAAAACAAGTATTTAAAATACTTTAGTTTAGTCTAGCCTGCTTTATATTTTTAAAACACTAACAAGGGAATCAAAATTACAGATACCAACTTTTTATACCCCTCAAAGACAGACCAGAAATTACTTACCCCATACTCCTGCAGCTAAAGATTTATTCTGATTTGGTTCTCTCTCATATTCAGGATTTAAAGATGGCTGGAAGAAAGTTCGAATAAAAATATCAAAACAAATGTTTAAATGACTCACATTTTAAAATAATGAATCCTTTAAAAGTATACAATTATACAAGATTATACAAATGAACAGACCAAACTCCTGTCCATTAAAGGCTCATAAACCTTACTTTCTACTTAATCTGCTGACCATTAAAATAGTACCAATACTAACTGCTCAGTGTTAAGAATAGTAATAAAAAAAACAAGAAAACCATCTTTAACAGTCTCATTTCCAACTACATGTGATATTTATTCACAAACTGGAAAACTCGAGTGACTATGATCTTCACATCAACTTAAGAAAGCATTCCTCCTTAGCATGTCAACAGCAGTAAAGATGAAAAGCTGAGTGTTCTCCAACTTTTCCATTATTGCACCTTTATCGTGGACAGCTTTAGTTGTCATCTCATTTTCTCAAAAAACCACAATTTTAAAAATTTTCATTTAAGATATGCTCAGTATATTAAAAAGCAATAAAACTGAAATCAGCATTGTTGCCAAGTGCCATCAAGGCAGTTCCAACCTATAGCAAGCCTACACACAACAGAAAGAAAACAAACATGGCCCTGTGCCATCCTTACCATTGTTCCTACGCCGGAGCCTATTGGCACAAGCCACTGTGTCAATACATCTCTTTGAGAGGAGAGCCTTACCCTTTTGTTAGCTGCCCCATCATTTTATCAAACATGATGTCATTTTCCAAGGGACTGGTTTAAATAGGTACAATCTTGGTAGATAATAGTTCTCCTTTATAATCCTACATTGTTTGCTTTATATAGGTATTTTCTGTATCATTTAACAAAACTGCCTGCCCTTACCTGAGGAAAAAACAAAACTCACTGCCATCAAATCAACTGTGATACAGCGACCCTACAAGACAGGGAAAAGCTGCCCTGTGGATTCTGAGATTAATTGCAGAAACAAAAGCCTCATCTTTGTTCCATGGAGCATCTGATGGTTTTAAACTGCTGACCTTGTGGTTAGCAGCCCAACATATAACCCACTATGCCACCCAGGCTTTGTGCTTTACTTGAAAGGCACTTTGTAATTATTTTACAGGATAGAATGATTTATTATATAAATGGAACTCACAGAATTAGTGACACTCTACTAACATCACGGTAAAACACTAAAAGAGTGCTCATGCATACCTAGTGATCTCTTCAGAGATACAAATTAAATAGGATTAATAGGATTTAGGTGAGGAATAAAAGTACTTTTTTGCAGTCATGTGGTGCAAGGAATTTGTCATCAATTGCCAACCTAAAGGTTGGCAGTTCAAACCCACCCATTAACTGCTAGGTAAAAAGATATGGTAATCCACTTCCATAATGAAAACCCTATCGATCAGTTCTACTATATAAAACATAACGAGTCATCATGAGTCAGAATTAACTTGAGACCAATAAATTTGTGTTATGGTTTGTAAGTGCGTTAAAAAAGTATATAATCTTAAGAAATTATACTCTAGGCCCATACTTAAAGGGCAAAGCACAGCGGATGTCCACCATCTTGGGATGAGAGGAGGATTTAACAAGAATACTGAGAGCTTTATTTTGTGTCAAGCACACTGCTTCAAGTGATTTACTTTCTTCCTTATTTAACTCTCACATCATTAAGAATAATATCAGCACTACTAGTTAATACTATAGAAACCATTTTATGATTATCACCAAATTAAATGGGCCACAGAAACAAAGATTCCGAAGTTACTGATGAATCATTTGTTCTTTCCCGAACCTTGCTCCCAACCCTAAAACCAATCTATTATCAATTCTCTTTCCCTCATTCACTCAGACTATTTCCAAATGACTGTGACTTTCTAAGAACTTACCCATAGAAACACCAGGGCTCCTTGGGTTTTTTCCTACTTCTCATATCTCACTCCTTCGCTACCATCAAGTAGATGCTACCTCAGACAACAGTGTAGAACTGCCCCTGTGAGTTTCTGAGACTACAATCCTTGATAGGAGTAGAAACCCTGTCTTTTTCCCTCGATTTTCCCTCAGACAGGATTGAAGCTACTTCATGTCTAATTTCTCTGCAAAGCAATCTTTTCTTTTTATGTTATGACTGCCTGCAATATAGTTAAAACTCCATGAAAGAGTGTTTTATTCACCTATTATTTCTGAGTATCTAGCGGTCAGAGACTGGAACTCAGAGCCACCCAAATGTGTGCCTGAATGTATAAAGCTCAATTCTCTACCTACAGTTGGTAAGAGAAATGAACCACAAGAGGAACTACATTAATAAAATTAAACACTGGATCAATTTCTCTGGAACCTGAGAAATTTCTCAAACCACATGAATGTGACTTACTTATTACAAGTAATGAATTAATGTAACTAATTACATTGGATGCCAAGCTAGTCATTCATTTTCCTTCCCTAACCAGGAAAAAAAGTCAGTAGAGAAAGTACGTTAAAGACACAGATTAAATTTCATTTAAAATTAAATAAAATCACGTATGTCAATATTTCCTTAAAAAAAAAAACAAACTAAATTATTCCTTCCAAAAGATGTGATATACCTGCAAATTTTCCAATCAACTCTAAGTGAAGCTGTTAAAATTGATATAAATATATCTAAAGTTTTGATGGTCATGTGATAAAATTTTATCTACAAAGCTTAAAAGATAGGGATGGAGAGGAAGGAAAGAAAATGGAAGAGGGGTGAATTGTGAACAAAAAGCCCTCACAAAATATAACAGAATTAAAAACAAGTGGACAAGTAATCAGTGGAAGGTGTGATCTCTGTACCAAATGAGCTGTACTAGTAAAATGTCAAGAAAAAGCTACACACTAAAATGGAATGTGCAGAAAATCTTATCGTATTAAATAAACAAAAAACTTACAAAATCCTCAGCTTCAAATTGTTTCCGTTCCCTCTTGTCTTCTTTCCTCCCAGTGTCATTGTCAGGTATATTGTTTTCATGTAATCCTTGGCTTTTTCCAGAATGGAAAATACTGCTACGAGAACGGGAACTTCCACCATGGTAGCCCCCTCGATGATTTATGTTTTCTGTACCATTTCTTCCATGTGTACGCCATCCATTTTTTTCTTTCCTTCCAAAATTACCTTTAACAGTAAAATAGCATACATTTAATAAAGAGGGTTACAGTTAAAAGATTGAGCAACAAAACATTATTTAAAGAACATGAAGAAATTTATCCTAAACTCTAGCATGCCCTGGCAAATTTTACCTCCATTAGAACGCCCAATACCAGAATCAAAGCCATCTGAAGAGTTATGTCGTCGACGATTTACATCATAACGATTTTCTGTCCATGAAAAGTTTTCAGAATGCTTTTCAAAATTCAGGGACGACTGAAACAAATTATAAACAACTTATAAGGTAAATGTACTTATAAAATGTAAATATAACATGAAAATCAGTAACATTCCAGCTGAGGTCATATTTAAGGATTTTCCATGGTTAAAGGTGAACATTTTATAACTTTCCAAGGTGTTTGTTAACCGGTAGTATTAAATACTTAAGATGATTCCATTGTTAATGTTTTCTTCTATGAGAAAGTATCTTTTTAACTGGAAAATAATCCCTCCTAGACTATCCAGATGGACGTCAATAATCTCAACAGACCCATAGAAATGGGAAAAATAGACAAAGTTATCAAGGGATTACCAACAAAAAAAATCCTCTGGGCCAGATGACTTCACAGGAGAATTCTACCAAGCATTCAGGGAAGAACTGACACCAATCCTACACAAACTCTTCCAGAACATAGAAAAAGACGGCAAACTCCTGAACTCCTTCTATGAAGCTAGTAGAACTCTGATACCTAAACCGGGCAAGGATCTCACAAGAATCAAGGACCCCAAAAGATCAATGTGTGTCATGACCATAGATGTAAAAATCCTTAACAAAACACTGGCCAATAGAATACAAAAGTATATAAAACAAATCTTTCACATGACGAGGTGGGATTCATCCATGGGATGCAGGGATGGTTCAACATTTGAAAGACCATTGGTATCATTCGCCACATTGACATGAAAAGCTTTAACAACCACATGATAATATCAATAGATGTGGGAAAAGGATTTTATAACATCCAACACCCAACACCCATTCCTGTTTAAGACACTCAAGAAGATAGGAATGGAAGGAAAATTCCTCAATATTATACAAGTTATATAAGAAAAACCAACAGTCAACATGGTAATCAATGGAGAAAAGACGAAAACAAGTCCACTGAAAAAGGGGACCAGACAAGGATGCCCCCTGTCCCCATTCCTATTTAACATCATACTAGAGGTCCTAGCTAACAACACAAGACACAACAAAGCCAACGTGGAAGAAGCACACCAGCCTATGCAATCACCAGTTGTCAAAGGGATCAGGTATAAGGCATCATCAGAACAAAAAATCTTACCATAGTGAATGATGGGGGGAGTGCGGAGTGGAGACCCAAAGCCC